ACCTTGAGAGAATAGTTGTTTCCTGTTAACTTTGCAACTGGTTTTATCTGTGACTGTGTCTTTTGTGTATCTGTTTTAATTTGCACAATGAATGGACAGTCTAATGTTTTACTTTGTCAGATGGAGCAGATATTTTGCTTCTTCACACAATGCAGGATTCTTAACCTGCATCGACTTGATCATAAGCTCAGGAAAAGACAGATATTGGTCAGTATTTCCTTCCAAAAGCGGAGATGATAAAGTAATATAGAAATCCTAAGGTCCAGACCTTCTACGTTCAGCCAGGTTCTGCTCCTTCTCCACACACCTTTGTTTTTTCTCCAGCTTCCAAGGGATCTCACAAAGGGAGTGGGAAACAGTGAACCTATGACTTCTTTCCTGCTTTAAAGCCAATTCCACGTAGTCTCGGAGACTGTTAGGCAGGATCTCCGCTTGGTGGAAAATGGGGCGTGCAGCCTCAAGTGCTTAGTTTGGAGGCCTTCTCTGTGCCGTCGCTGCGGGGATGCCAGCTGCGTGTCGGCTGGACGCGGGCCGAGCCTGCAGGCCACACTGAGAGCCTCCGCAGGCTCAGCCGGCGCGGGGGCTGGGGTCCCGGCCCCGCCCCCGAGAACCCGGCGCCCGCTCAGCCCCACCCCGCCCCGCACCACCCCGCCGCGCCCCGGGACCCGCTCCTGACCCCGCCGCGCCTGGCTCCCGGAACCTGGCTGGCCGGGGCTGCTCGCTGCCCCGCCGGGCCGGGTGGGGGCGGAGCCGGGCATCCAGCCGCGAGGACTGGAGCCGCGGGAGGTGGAGCCCCGGTCCGGAAGCCGGGGATCCGCGGCCATGACGGTGCCGGCCCGCGGCTTCTCGCTGCTCCGCGGCCGCCTGGGCCGAGTGCCGGCGCCGGACAGGAGCACAGCACCCCCCGTGAGCGCCCCGGGAGGGCCCAGGAGCGCGTTCCGGGGCTTTCGGAGCAGCGGGGTGAGGTACGAAGGCCGCGGGCTCAGGGTGCTGAGCCGCCGGCGGTGGGAGGGCGGCGGGGGCGCGCGTGGGGCCGAGGGCTCGGGGGCGGCCGCGCGGCGGGCCGGGTCGGGGACCGCCTTGGCTGGGAGTTGGCCTTGCCGGCCTCGCGGGTGAGTCGCGGCTGCCTCCGCTCGGGGAGCGAAAACGTGCTCTGCTCTGGGCTCTGGCACCAGAACGTTCCATCTTTGCAGCAGGTGCGATTGAGTGATTGAGGAAGACACTTGAGGCACTAAGATACCATAAAAACACGTGGTCTGCTTGGTCAAGCATTTGTTTCTACTTTGCTTATTGTAGTGTTTCGTAAATAAAGGAGTAGGCGTTGTCCAGATGGCTTACTAATGTTTGCGTTTCTCAATTTCCTTTGTTAATGGTTTTGTCAAGGTCTTTTCCAACTCTAAGTTATGTATGGTTTCAGAAAACCAGAGATCAACCCCAATTTCTCAGTCTTTTCATCTATGGCTCTCCGTAAACCTCTGTAAAGTGATGAGACTTGCATTCATTACATCTCTTTGGACTTGGTTGCTGGCAAGAACCATGAAAATACAAAAGAGTACGCACCCTTCTGTCTTCTACTTTACTTGTCTTACTTGCAAAATCCATCTTAACAAGATGAAAATATAGCTTCTTGACCCAGAGCCTGTGAGTCCAGAAGAGCCTCTGTTTTTAAACTTTCAGGGCTTCCAGAAATGCGCTTTCATTGCCGTTTTACGTCCAAAGATTGTGTCTCACTCGAGTTTTTGTTTCTGCCCACCCCCACCCCCTTGCCCAGGACAATCCCTAGAAAAAAACAATGATTGGTAAAGTGGAAACGTAGATGCTGTTTATTTAATTTAAATCAATTAATTCCCTATTGTGTACATTTAGATCTTAGTCTTGAGTAACTGAATTTAAAAATTATTTTCTATAGGATTTGCTTGGATATAGTTTCTAGTGACTAGGTTTTCCACGAGGATATGTGAGAAAATAACAGTGAATCAGAGTTGTTTTGTAAGTGATAGTGCTGTGCGTAAGAATGTGCCACTTGCTTTGAAGCTACCAGCTAGCTCTACTACCTAGGAAAAGCAGATTCTGTAGAATTCTATTTGTATGAAAGAATTGAGGGAATTATTTGCTGTCACTCTAAATACTTGTTTGTATCATTATTCTCTGAATGTCAGTTGTGTTAGGGCTGCTTTTCAGGTTGAGGATAACCTGTTTCAAATAGTACAACTTGATTAATTTCCCTTTGTCAGCTTGCTGTAAACAACTCTGTCTCACCATTTTCTCGATGACTTGCATACATTGAGTGGAAGTCATTACAAATAACAGTTAAACCCCAAAATTTGGTTGTAGCCACTTGCTTTGTACACGAACACACACACGTACACGTGCACACACACACACACATAACCCAACTCATGGAGAATTCAGAACTTTTAAGTTATACTTAATAACTTCTTCATAATTTAAAACAGTTGAGTGCAAAGGTTTTGGAAAGCTATTATCCATATGCACAATAAGAGTTATTAATTTCAGCCCAGCTAGTTTCAGTCCCACTTGATGCAGATTATAATTATAAAAATAAATAATCTATTTTGATAGTTTTTATTTTTTACAGATGGCACTAGGCAAGTTAAGATAAGGCAGGGGTTTTGATGCCCCTTTTACACTGAATACCATCTCTGAAGGTGAAGTTGGCCCCAAGGTTGAGAAACACCTGTGGACTGGTGGGCCTCGGGTGGGGAGGAATTCGGACAGTGTGTTGATGCTTATTGGTGTCTCTTTTCTCTTCTAGGACCAGCAGAGAGAAGAGATTCCGTCTTCCAGAGGTTGCCACTGTCTGCCTCCCCACTTGACCCCATCCACAGTCACCTTTTTTTTTTTATATATAGTGACACATTAGCTGTCTAGTTATTCATAGTTAATGTGGTTTAAGTCTGACATCATTTCTTTTCCATGAAATTTACACTTTAGTATTATTCTCACTGAAAATTGCCTTTGAGTTTGACAAACTCTTATCTCAGTGATACTGTTTTAAATTAACAGATTTATTACCATTTATTAACTATGTAGATCCTTAATTGAAAAAGTATCTCTGATTATTTTTTCATATTTTGGCCACATATCTATAATAATGGAACATTGTAAATACTTTTTAGTGGAGGATTTTTAAAGTAGAATTTCAATAAGTAATGTTTGATGGAGTTTGCAGGTTACAATATCTTGAAGTATTATTTTACATTTTTCTCTCAATGATTTTTCCCTTAAAATTTGCAATGAATTTGTTTTCCTGTTTATTCGTGAGAAATTAGGTCTTCTTAATTGGGAGAAATTAAAGTAATAAATAAGCCCTTCTAATTCTCCCAGCTGTTTCTTGAAATGAATTACCTATCCAGGCAAAAGATTAAAATTTTTTTTTAAAAGTCTTTGTAATTAAAGTTTTCCCATTTTGTTGTGGTGTGTGAGGATTTTACAAATCAAAATATCCTTGTTTAGAAGACATCACATGAGTTTGTGCCCGGTGCTTTTCAGTCTGAGGAGCCTGTTAGCAGCCCATCCCATTTGGGTGGGAAGGTTATAGACCTTGTGCATTAATGCCATGCTCAAAGCAGATTTGCAGGTATTCTGCAACAGAGGGACTTTCGCAAACCCTGCTTTGGCTTATTCTACCTGAACTACTTATTTTAATTAACTAAATGGCTATACTAAGCATTCCATGTTTATCCTGTTGTTCAGTGAATCCTCAAATTGTTAATTTGGTAGACTCTCTTTTTTTCTCCTTATACTATTATTCTTTTAGCTTTAAAAATAATGTGTATGCTTACAGCTCCTTATGGAAGTTTCACCTTTCTTTGTGTCTTCCTAGCAGCAACTTTATAATTTTTGCAGCTGGACCATGATTTTGGAACTAGTAAAAGACACTTATTTGTGTTAAGTATTCATGTCTTTTACTGTAGGTAGTTGAGTTTAATAATAAAAAAGAGATACATTTTTATCAGTAACAATGTTCATTTTTCTTCAGACTCTTCCCTCTAGTACTTACTCTGTATTTCTAGCTCTTCTAAAGACTAGGAAAGGTAGTTTCTCAAAATCGTATTCTGTTTAGTCGGCAAATGTGATAATGTGGTGGTGTTCCTATCTTCCTGCTATACGTATTCTACTGAAAATGAAAAAATAATTGCTATCTGGCTACAATTTTGATTTCTAAGAATTTCTCGTGTCATTTTAAATTCAGAAACTAAATATTTCAACATTTGGTTTGTCATACCTTAAGTTTTATTTTCTGTGTTCCAGCTGTTCAGAGATAGTATGTTCTCATATCTCTAAAATCAATCAAGATTTTTGACTAAAATGGATCAGTAGATGAAAAAGATAGACAAATAATACTTTTAGATCTTATTAGTTAATCATGGTCTTACTAATAATTTGGCAATTTCTTTAATTACCCAAATCTTTGTTTTTTAAATGCCTTATTCTTTCATGTTAATATTCTGATGGGAGGATGAAAACAGCAGAAAGGAGCAACACCAGATGATCTTTTCATGGGCACATACTCTTTCAATGAATCCCATAGAGCTCAAATGAAATTACAGTTTGGCTTAGAGATAATTAAGTTGTGGAAGGAGGTTTAAGAAAGGAGGTTAAGTGAAATGTGAACTGTAAATAAGTATACTAAATTGAAGAAATGATGAGTAATAAATGAGATTTGTTTTTAAGAAATTCAGTTGGGACCTGAGAAAACATTTTGTATGCAAGGTAGAAAACTTTATGATCACAATAGAACACAATCTGAACCTAAATTAACAGTAGTGTTGAAGAATTCAGGGGGGGATATTATCCAGGAAGGCTTAGCCAGGTGCTCCACTTAACATTACATCATAAGTAGTTTCTGTGTTGCTGTTGTTTTTATTGGCATTTCAATGACTGCATCATATTACATTAAATCAATTGGCCCTAACTTACCTAACCATCTTGCTGCTTTTTAATGTCTAGTTCTTGGAAAACATGTAATAATTTACTCTCAGATTGAGGTCATGCTCTTGTCAACATCATATCAACCAGGTTTGCTCACTTCGTCATCTGAACCGTACATAGGTTTCTATAATTAGGCTCATTAGAGTGTCCTTTGATCTAAAGACTGTCTAAAGATTCATAATTCTAAAGTGAGTGTATGTGTATAGTTTACAACATATGTTGTCTCCCTAGCTTTTTTCCCCCCTATTTGTTATTAACTGCAATGAATACCATCATGCTTTTAAGGAATTCAGTTGTATTGTTGAAAAATACATTTTTATTAATATCTGAGGAGCTCTTAGCGTTAAGCACTTTGCTGAGATTTTTCACTTACATTATATCTTTTGATCCTTACAACAACTAAATGAAGTAAACACTATGACTATTCCCAGTTAACAGATTGAGACATTGAGACTTAGAGAAATTAAACTTGTCCAAGTTGGCACAGTAAATAAATGGTGAAGACAAGGCATGAACCCACATGATCTCTCCAGTGTTGTTTTCTACAAACAGCTTATAATTATTTACTTGTCTCACTTTTGCTTTTTCTTCTTTTTGAAAACATCAATATTAAATCTCATAGAACTTTTGTGAATCTAGAAAGCTATTTTGCATGTAAATTTTAGAAATTATTTTGTTAGATTCCTTCAGTTAGAGATGTTCTTAACTAGGACCTTATGGATAGAATTCAGGGGATCCATAAACATGGATGGGAGGTTACTAACATCTAATAAATTTAGCATTTTTTTTTCAGTTGTCAATGTTGGCAACAAACACATAGCATCAGCAGTACATTTGACTTGCTAATATAAATCACAAATATTTCAGTATCACAAAGTTGAGGCAGATACCACAAAACATCATTTGCACATCACTATTTTGATCTGGTAGGTAGACGTACAACTAGATCCTGTTATTTCATACTTTTTTTTTTTTTTAAAAAAAGCATTTGATAGTATTTCAGTAAAACTGGTTTTCCTTGTAATCTGTAATTTATATTGAATGTTTAAAAGGATTGTTCTGAGGAGTCCATGGGTTTCAACAGACAGGCCAAGAGCTTTTGCAGCACAAAGCTTAGCATCTAAGGTTCTTTCTGACAAAGTTAGTTTGAAAACGCATGGATGTTGTTTAATACTACAGAGTGAGAAAGTGTTAACTAGTTAAAAAAATGGAATATCAAGAAGAGTCATACATAAGAAAAATGAGTTATTTTACTTTTTATTGATTTGCAAATGTAATTTCTAGTAAAATTACTTCAAGATGTGAATAGGGTACTTGGGGTGTGAAACAAATTGTTTTAAGGAGGCCATAAACTTAACACTTATATGTATTCATTTATTTTAGCAACACTCCTCAAAAGACTCCCTATACTGGTGATTGGTTTTATTCTCTATGGAATTTTGTCCTGTTTTCTTTGGGTTTCATTTCCAATTGTACAAACTCAAGATATCCAAACTGTATGTTAGGACCTGGGGAGAGCTTGGAATAGTTAATCATCATATTAGGATTTTTCATCTTTATAGAGCCCAAAGTGGTTCATTCAGCTCTAGTTGAAGCTGTGAATAAAGATGAGATTGAAACTAAGATGTAGATTTGTGAAGTATACAAATTAAATAAACTATTGATCTTGACTAGGTTTTATTTGTTGTTACATTACTGTTTTGTGGAGGAGTACTTTGATACATGGTAATAATCCCCCCCTTGTTACTTTGCTCTACTTTAATAAATACATCATTTGGTTCTAGTAAGAGTAGATTAAGGTGGTTAGTTTATTTTCTGGAAGTACGGTAAACAAACCCATGGAAAGAGCACTAAGTATTAAAGATTTTGTGCTCTATAATGCTCCTGGTTATATGAATATGTTGTCATCTGTTATTTAGAAACTAGGAGAGAGAGCCACTTTTACAAACCAGCCAATGAACTTTTAGCCAGATTCTCTTACGTAATGTGAGGTTAACAAAAGAGTATTCTTATTATATAGATGAAGAAATTGCATGCCTTTGAGAGCAGCTAAGTGACTTGCCTAACTTTATAATTGCTACTAATGGTGACCCAGAGCTCTGATGCTCAGGACTTCTGATTTCAGGTGAGTAATTTATACTTCATAGTGCTGCCCTGCTACTCACTAGCCACCACCTCTCTTTAATTTGTGCTTCCTGATGAAGCCACATTTAGTGGCTAGCCCAGAAATAGGCTATTGGAAGGGAGCGCTCCTTTTCCTGTCTTCTTTGGGGGAAGGTTGTTTCTGCCTTTGTGGAAAACACCTGAGCAAGTAATGACAGGGCACATCATGTAAACAGTATCTAAGGGGTCAAATGGATTTCACTTTTGATAAACATTAATGGCAAGGTCACTTTATAATTTTTTTGACCAAACTAGTACATGCTTTAGAGTAAAAAGGGGCATGAATGTAATGAAAATGATATATTTGGAATATTTATTGGCTTACAAAGATATTAGCAAACCTATAAAATTTTCATTCAAACCATTTTCAAAATTAACATTTTAAAGATAATTTATATCCTTGTATGTTAAAACAAAATAAAAATTTATATTACATGAATATTCAGCATGAATAATTATTCTTGGTGCATATTCATATACTTGGTGCATATACTTGAATCGGCTTCTTAGCTTTATCTTTTAACACCTTGATACTGATAATTTTCTGAAAAAAGTTAATAAGATCTTATGTTTAATTTTTTTTTTTTTTTTTTTTTTTGAGATGGAGTCTTACTCTGTCACCCAGGCTGGAGTGCAAGTAATGCAATCTCGGCTCACTGCAACCTCCACCTCCCAGGTTCAAGCCATTCTCCTGCCTCAGCCTCCTAAGTAGCTGGGACTACAGACATGTGCCACCATGCCTGGCTAATTTTTGTGGTTTTAGTAGAAACAGGGTTTCACTGGTTTGGTCAGGCTGGTCTTGATCTCCTGACCTTGTGATCTGTGCACCTCAGCCTCCCAAAGTACTGGGATTACAGGTGTGAGCTACCATGCCCAGCCCTTATGCTTAATTTTAAAATCAATTTTTCTGCAACTTTCTTAACAGTTCCAAATTGAATCTTTGCTTTAGACAATCATTATTTTAGTTTTAAAGGTACTGTCTCTATAGATGCTGAAGCACCATGTAAACGCTGCTAAATGGAATACTCTTTAATTCTACTTTTTTTCATATTGAAATGGACGATATTTTAGCCTAAATATTTTCACAGGTGCTATCTTTGTCTATCTTTTCAAAGTACTTTTCTTTGATGAATACTTAGATAAACGTCATCAAATAAGTTGTTTTTTGTGTATGATTTTTAAAATAGTTTGCCAAATTTAGATATGGGAACATTAAAGTTTTTCTCAGTTATATTCCATTATGTTACAAAACAGTAATTTATTCGACGAAATTGTATTCAACAAAAAATTTGAGCTCCATCGAAAGTCTTCTCAGAAATTGGACTATTTAAAATTGTGACTATAGATATATTTATTTACTATTTCTGCTGTACATAAAGTTCCACAAACTAGGTGGCTTGAAATAGCAGAAATCTGTTTTCACATGTCTGGAGGCTAAAAGTCCAAAACAAAGTAACTATAGGACCATGGTCTGTAACTAGCTTCTGGTTATTGCCACCAGTACTTGATGTTCCTAAGGAGTTTGTAGCTGCATAGCTCCAGTCTTTGCCTCTGTTGTCATGTGGTTGTCTTCCCTCTGTGATTTCACTTCCCTTCTGTGTGTATGTGTGTCTCTTCTAAGGGCAGAAATAAAAATTACCTGTGCATTGTTTGAGCTATCATTTTTTTTATTAGTTCCCTTCTTCCCTTCCTTTTGAAGAGATAACATTTCTATTTGTAAGCTTTGGTTTCACTGATTACAGTTCACTAAAAACTTTAAATCTGAATGTGCCTCTACCCCCATTTGATCTTCTTGTTGAATATGTTGATTAATAATTTCAATTTCCAACAACTTTTGAAAAACATGAAACAGTGTTGCCCCTCCCAGTGCCAAGCCAGCCCCCATAGACATAGTCTGTATGCCAATCCTTGTAGACCTAGGCTCTAGGCCTGTACTAATGCCAGGGCAGCACCCAGAGATTCCAGTTTAGCTTCTGCAGACTTAGGCATCAGGTACAAACTCATGTACCCACACTCTAAGCCTGCCCCAGTACTAGGTCAGCGTCTATGAATTCAGGTCCAAGCCTATCCCCAGGGACCCAAGCTCCTGACCCAACCTTACGGTTCCTGGTGCCAGGTCTACCCCTGCAGTCCCCACAAACTTGGGACCAGGCCCATTCCAGTGCCAGGCTAGTCTCCATGGACTCAGACTCAAGACTTGCCCTACTGCCAGGATGGCCCCCATGAACCTTGGCTTCAGGTCTGTATTTGCAGACCCAGGATCCAGGCCTGCTCCTACATACCCAGTTGACAGCCCACCCCTATTTACCCAAATACCAGCTTACCCCTTGTGAGTTGAAGTATTAGGCCTGCCATCTGCCAACCAATCTGAAGACTCTAGCAGCAAGCCCATCCATGGACCATGCCAGATGGCTCATCAAGAATCTCTAGACAGGCTGACTGGTGAAGGGCTTTCCTGACTGAAGCCAGTTTATAAAGACTGGAATAGGTGCCTACTTCTTCAAGTGATAGACACCAGTGAAAGGCCATGAGAACTATGAATCATTAGGGAAACATGACACCACAAAAAGAACAAAATAAAGTAACAGTAATTGACCATGAAGAAATGGAGAGCTACAGGCTGCCTAACCAGAGAACACAAATAGACAACTAAACAATATCACATGATTTCAAATACTACAAAAGGATAAAAACAGGGTGCTGTGGGAACTCATAGCAGAGTCCCGGGGTACAGGGGTCAGAAAACATTTCCCAGAGTGTTTCACAAGCTGAGACTTCAGGAATGTGTGAGATAGACATGGCAAGGTAGTTGGAGAGGTGAGAAAGAGAAGGAGGAGTGTTTCAGGCAGAGGGAATATTGTATGTGAAGGCCCAGGGAGAACATGGTGCAGTTCATGAATTAAAATATGATTGGTGTGTACTGTGGGACTCACTGATCACAGGGTTCTTTAGCAGTGAGGCTAAAGTAGCTCATGCAGAAGTTTGTAAGCCATAGGGAATTTGGATTTTAGTTAAAATTATTCCCCCAATTTCTCAGTTCAAAAATTTTGGAGTCGTGTTTGCCTATTTTTTTTTTTTTTCTCATATCCTACATCCAATCTCAGTAAATCTCAATGGTTTCACTCTCAAAATAGATTCAGAATCAGACTACTTAGCACCTCCACTGCTACCTGGTTGACTAACTCCCCATTGTCTGTTGCCTGTTATACTACACTAGCTTTTTAGCTGGAGTCTGCACTTCTACTCTTGATCTCACAGAGTTTATCCTCCATATTTTCACCAGTTACTTTAAAAACGAAAGTCATGTCAGAATCTCTAAAGGGCTTTCTATCTCACTCACAGTCAAAGCCAACATCCTTTCAAAGGCCTGCAGGGCCTTATATAATCTGATGTCCCACTACTTCTCTTCCTTCATGTCTTATCCTGGTTCACTTGGTCTTTTCACTGCAGCCACTGGCCTCTTGCTATTCCTCAAAGATTTCAGGTATGCTCTTTGCTAAAGGCCTCCATACTTGCTGTTTGCTTCCCTTGGCCTAGAATGCTTTTCTCCCGAGAAATCTACATGATTTATTTGATGTCCTTCATTTTTGCTCACATGTCAACTAATTTATCAGAGAAGTGATACCTTAACCCACCTATATAAAATAATTCTGGCTTTCAGATAAGTCCTTTCTCTGCCTCAAGTCACACATGATATATTAAATACTTGCTGTTTTTCAATTTTCTTATATCTTGTATTAGAATATAGTTTCCATAAAAGTAGGCAATTGTTTTATGCCCTATTATTTATATTCCCATTGACTAAGATAGTTCTACGCACATAGGAGACTTTCAATATGTATTTATTCAGTTAATAAGCAATGAGCATGTGTTGGGGAGTTTTAACCACGGAGGTGACATAATTAAACAACAATTACTCTGGCTGCCGTATGGAAAATGCATTAGAGGTGATCAGGACAAGCAAGAGAATTTTAGGAGCTGTGTTATTCAGTGGCTGAACAGTTGAGTTGTTGCTGCTGTTAACCTTTTTAGCTTTTCAACAATTTTCATGTTCAAAGACCTCATTTGTTTATGCACTAAAGTAATGAGAATGTGTGAGTTGACTAGTTCTTCCAGCACATGGACCAATACAGGCACTCTCCCATTGAACCTGCATTAATTTCAGGTTGCTTCATTTTGCCTCTTGTAGTGACTCCTACAGAGCTAGGCTTGCTGAGTCTCTACAGTGACTGAGGGAGTCAGTTGGAGGGGCCAGTTGCTACTGAAAATGCTCACAGACCTAATTCCTAATTTGCCCATAAACACCTGCTAGCCAGAGTGTATGCATGGTACAGTTAAGTTTAATCTGTATACAGTCTGTCTCCTTGAAATCTGGGAATCAGTTCATGCTATTGGTCTTCTCTGACACTCTCCAGGTCACACAGGTTTGTACTATCTAGGTCATAATTAGCCTGAATTATATTCAGTGATTGCCAACTTCACAGTGGCATGTGAACAAACTATTATGTTTAATAGTGAGTGAATCAATCAATAATATGTCAGCAGTAGCATCGCTACTAACGTTATAAAATACAAGACAAAGTTCAGATGTTATATTTTAAAATAAAATGTATATGGCTTACTATGTTAGGTGACTTCTAGTTTTTTTTTTTTTAATAGATAAATCTGCTTCTAGAATAATGTTCTACCCTAAGAAAATATTGCTGACACAAACTTGATTTATGGAAAGTTTTTTTTTTTTTTTTTTTTTTTTTGCTACTACTTCTAAATGAGTCATGGTGGAATATGTTGTGTATCTGCAGTTAATAGTATTTGCTAATAATATACAAGGTCCTTGTTATCTTAGTGCCAAAAGGCTACTTAAGTGAATTCATAAAACATCCTCACCAGAAATTCATAGGAAACGGTGAAACAGTTTGTTACTTTCCTTTGAAAAATAAAAACCTTTCAAGTTATATTTTATTTTAACTTGATTTGTTTATAATTATATACAAATTATTGGAAGGTACAAAGCACAAACTACAAAAAATCTCTCAAGGAATAATAGATAACCTGAATATCTCTCTAGAGAGAATTTAAGTTTGTAGGTTTAAACCTTCTCCAAAAGAAAACTCCAAAATCAGATAGCTTCATGGGTGAATCCTACCAAACATTTAAGAAAGAAAATAATGCCAGTTCTTTTCACACTCTTCTGGAAATTTGAAGAGGATAGCATTCTTCCTAACTCATTCTATGAAGCCAGCATCATCCTGGTATCAAAGCTACATGATAACCTTGTAAGAAAAGAAAACTACAAACACCTCTTATGCACATAGATGCAACAATTTTAACAAAATTTCAGATGAAATCCACAATTTCTGGAAAGGATAGATACATAATGACCAACTGGGATGTATCCCAGGAATGCAAGATTGGTTTGACATTTGAAAATTAATCAATTACCATATTAATGGACTAACATCTGAGGAAGCCTTATGATCATTTCAATAGACATAAACATTTGGCAATATCCTCATACAAATTCTAACCAAACTAAAAATAGACATCAATCATACAACTGAATGTATAACTTGGACGCATAAAATATCTAGAAGAAAACACTGGAGAAAACCTTTGTGACCTTGAGTTAGGCAAAGATTTCTTTTATACAACACTGAAAACATGGTCCATAAAAGGAAAAATTAATAAATTGGAGTACATTAAAATTAACTGTTCTAAAAACATGACTGTGGGGCCATGTGATACACAACGGAGCCCAGTCTTCAAGATAGCTGCCAGTTTTAACTGGGCTGTGCTGATCTGCTTCTTTAGAAAAAATGGCAGAACTTTAAAATCAGGCAATAATATAGTCTAGATCTTGAGTATGTAGTTTGTTAATTTATATGAATATACATATATATGTATATGTATATGCATATTGTATGCATGTATGTGTATAATATATATGTTATATAGATAATACCTAAGTAAAAATTGTGAAGAAACATACACTGTAGATAGTGTCTTAGTCTATTTGAGCTGCTGTAACAGAGTATCAGAGACTGGTTGGCTTATAAAAAACCAGAAATTTACTTCTCATTGTTCTGTAGGCTGGAAAGTCCAATATCAATACATCAGAAGGTTCGGTGTCTGGTGTGGGCCCGCTTTTTGATTAATAGATAGCTGTCTTCATACTATGTCCTCACATGGCAGAAGGCATGAGGAAGATCTCTGGAGTTTCTTAAAAGGACAGTAACACCACTCATGAGGGCTCTATCCTCATTTTATAATCACCTCCCAAAGGAATCACCTCCTAATATCATATCATTTGGGGTTAGGATTTCAACATATGAATTTTGAAGAGACATACATTTATTCTATAGCAGATAGGTTATATTGTAGAACAAAATAAGAGAGGCGAAATCCTTCAAAAAATTATAAAATATTTGTAAACCTGAAGAGTAGGAGTCACATTAAATTGAAAAAATAATCAAATTTGGGGCGCTTGGAGAATCATGGTTGTTTTGTTCATTTTTGTACCTTAAATTTGTACAGTTGAATATTTTTAATTTTCTTTTTAGTATTATATTTGTTGTTTTGCTTTCCACAGACATGAAGCCATTATTATATCAGGAACCGAAATGGCTAAGCATATCCAGAAAGAAATAAAGCAAGGTGTGGAATCATGGATTTCCCTTGGAAACAGAAGACCTCACCTCAGTATAATTTTAGTGGGAGATAATCCAGCAAGCAAAACATACGTCAGGAATAAGATAAGAGCTGCCTCTGCTGTAGGTGGGTATGTGTTTTAGTTGTAATTGCTACTAAATATGTTTTCTGTTTTTAGTTCAAATTGTGATAATTAAGAATGATAATTATCAAATAAGTACCATTTGAATTACATGTATTAAACATTATTCAGTTACTAAACCTTATGTTAATTTCATTTGATGATTCTTCAAAATGTTTATAGGGTTAATTCAGTGTGTTTTATATTCTATGGGAAGAAATGCAAAGAATACATCTAAAAGGCTTGCTTTCATTATATTTGATTTAATCAAATAATAAACCTGACTTGTTCACCCTGTTAAACTTGGCCTAATTAGTTGTGTGGTAGTGATATTTTTATTCTCTTCTAATCTACTAACAGTAGCTTATCTCAAACAAGTACAAGTTGTCACCTGGCATTCCAGGCCAAAGAATGCATGTTAATCAAGAGAAAACACTTGTATTATTGGAGAAATCCTTCCTGATGATGCATTAAACATCAGAACCCTTCATTCCAGCAGGAACAGTCCCACACTGTGTCAGGCACTATTGATGAAAAACCATATTCAGTTAGTCAAGTGACCTTCTCTGCTTGTTTTTCTTCTAGGTATTTGTAGTGAGCTCATTCTAAAACCTAAGGATGTTTCTCAGGAAGAACTTTTGGACATAACTGATCAATTGAATATGGACCCAAGAGTCAGTGGTATATTAGTTCAGTTACCACTGCCAGGTACATAACGCTCTTCTCTATATCTGGTTTTGCTAAAAGAGAAACAGAGGGCATCTTTCAACATCATATCATGATACTATAAGTAATTTATAAAACATATTCAGAAGGGGACTATTAAACTAGCAACAAGTGTAATAGTGGTTTCTGAATGATTTGTGCTTACATTGACAAAATCCATGAAACTAAAATTTAGGTACTGGCAATACATGCACCCCTTGCTTTGCACAGTAGTGTGGGACCCTAAAAATGATGATGTAAGAGGAAACCAGGTAATGTGATCTTAATAATCAAAGGTAAAAATAACAACAATTTTTCTGTGGCCTTTAAAACTTTTTATCAAAGCTTTAAAACCTTTCCTACTGTTTGAGTGTCTCAAACAAGAGATTGTGGTTCATAAATGTATAGGGAAATGAATAATTAGTAAAACTAAAGTAATATTTTTTAGTACACTGTAATTTAGAAATTAGAAACATTGAGAAATAAAGTGTATGATTTCTTTGCATAAACTTGTCAAAAGTAGTTAGAGCAGTGTTTGCCTTCTAATTCTCTAACATCAGATGGAATGAGCATCTTTTCTATGCTTTGGTGAATTGAACTTTTACATTCCTTTCAAAGTTTAGATTAGCTCCCAGTATTTTGTCTGTTGTACTTTCAATGTTATGTAATTTCTCTGAGAGTTCCTTAACATTAAAAGAAACGTCAATGTGAAGTTACATGTTGGTATCACTTCCTCTGAGACGTTGTCGTCTTTTTTGTTCCCGTCACTTTCCTCATTTCTGTGATGAGTTCACCTTCATTAAGTTTCTCTGGCTGTGTAACCATCTCTCCAAAGGATTCAGTGTCAACATTCTATGGTCAGCTATTTCTCCTACAACCCCATTTACATTAAATTAGAATCCTATGACTTTGTTTTTTATGTTCATTAGATTTTTTTCCAACATCGTTCTTACCTTCACTTCATGCAGGCCTAGGTTCCTCTTGTCTTTGTTTGCTGTTACCATTTTCAGATCTTCTACCCACAGCCAGTTTCCATCCTAGCATTATCGCATTGTGTTTCTTTGCTATACTTTTATTTTTATAGGCTAATCCCCTCTGTCTGTTATCCACTTTTGTAAAATATCATATGGGTTTATCTCTGGGGGACATGGAGAAAACACACTTTGCTCTCTCTGTTTGGAGATTACAAATGTGCAGCGACCAGTCATTTGAAAGAAGGGTATGATTGGTCTCTGATCATCATCTCATCTGTTATTTTTAGTGATCTGTGGACTAAAGAGCTAGCAGCTCTTGTATAGTTACTAAGAATTTGAACTGTGTTGTTGTGGGACTAGTATTACTTCATTAAACTGTGGTTCTGAAATTTGTGCATATTTAAACTGCAAAATTGAGGACTGCAGGAATGGTATAGGTTACAGTAGTTTTGTAGTTTTGCGTTCTGGAAGCTCCGATTAACAATTATGGTATGCAAAAAGTAAAGCTATATAATGCTATTATATGGGATCTTCATATGGTATTAATATTTTTCTTTAACAATAAAATACGTTAGCATATGTTATAGCTTTTGTGCTGTTTAAATTATGCCAAAAATTAATACTTCTAATTCTTTTCCTCTAATATAGCTTCACTGACAAAAAACATCAAGTTGATAAGAATCTTAGAAGCTATCACAGTTTTCTCCTGAGAAAAATGCTCTGACAGATAATTCTTAGATTAATGATGTTAAAGTTAGTATGGTGATAGTATCACTTACATTTAAAACTAAAAAAAGAAATTCAACACATGCAACACTCTTCTATCATAGGAAAATGAGGTCTAGAGAAGATCAGGAGTTTATTAACATCACAAATCTGTCCAAAAAATTTTAACAGTGTTTCTCAATTGTTTGACTAATGCAAAATGAATCTCTTTTTTGGTGCTGTATTTATCAAGCAATCTTTTTATAGTTTGCAGTTTTTGAAGTTTTCTCCACTTGGCATTTGTATGACATTTTAATAGCCATGTAACCATATCACAATATTAATTCTTAAAATGTCCATTCTACACAAAGTAACCTGAAAAAAAAAACATTCCTTAAAAGAAAACATACAAATGGCCCACAGGTATGTGAAAGTGATCAACATTAGTAATTATCAGGGAAAGGCAAATTAAAACCACAATGAAATATCACCTCACACCTGTTAGGATGGCTGTTATCAAGAAAATGAGGTAAGTGCTGGGGATATAGAGAAAAGGAACCCCTGCTCACTGAGGTTTAGAGTGTAAACTGGTATAGCCATTTTAGAAAACAGCATGACAGTTCCTCAAAAAATTAAAAATAGAACACCATATGATCTAAAATTTCCATTTCTGTGTATATATCCAAGTGACATGTTATCAATGTGTTAAAGAGATAGCTTCACTCTTATGTTCATTGTAGCGTTACTTTAAAATACATAATCAACTTTAGTGTCTATTGGTGGCGAATGAATAAAGTAAATGTTGAATATCTACACAATGAAATAAAAATCAACTTTTTAAAATAATGAAATCCTATCATTTGCGATAACATGGAAGCTGAAGCATAGTATACTAAGTAGAATGAGCCAGACACAAAGAGAAAAGCCTGCATGGTCTTACCTGTAGAATTTTAAAAAGTAAACTCACGGAAACATAGAGTTAATGGTGGTTACCAGGGACTGAGGACTGGGAAGGGGATTTTTCAGATGTTGGTTAAAGGATGCAAAATTTTAGTTACACAGGAATAAGTTTTGGAGATCTATTGTACAACATGGTAACTTAGTAACAACATACTGTCTACTTGCAAATTGCTGAAAAGGAGCTTTAAATGTTCTCACCATGAAAATACATATCTGATGTATTAGATACATTAACTAGATTGACTTAACTATTTCATAATGCATACATATATCAAAACATATTGTACACCACACATATATACAATTTTTGTTTGTTAGTTTAAAATTATTTAAAATAGTCATGGTTTTCAAACTACACTATATTTAGTTTGTCACAGATTTCAAACTACATTAGATTGATTGTCTTAATGAATTTATATTTGTATAAATTTTACCCCTTTTGGGCAATATTCCTCATTTGGTGAATTTATTAGCAGCTCACTGCTATCTGGCACTGCTGATTTATTTGTTTTAAATACTAAATTGCTTGACTCCTGTGCTAGAGACTAAATTGTTTGAGTGTCTCAAACAGAGTGAGATGCATAGAGCTAAAGTGACCATGGTGATTTAAAAAAATCTGAGAAATGGTGGTTTTCTATGCAACCAAAAAGCCAATAATGCCAAAATTGTGGCTAACATTGATTATATTACAGCACTTTATATGCCATTTATATTACAAATGGCACTTTATATTTTTTAACCCATTGGATTCTCACAATAATCCTATGAAGCTCGAGTATTTTTTCACTGATGAGAAATTTGAGGCACGAAGAAGGTAACTTCTCCCAAGTTCACAGAGCTGCTAAGTAACTGAACTGGGATTTGAATCTGGGCAGACTGGCCCCTATGCCAAGAATACTGTTACCTGTTAGATTGGCACCCTCACTGGCACATCAATGTTAGCTGGTGAGTAATGTGTGCTTACTGTGTGGGAGGGACTCCTTTACATGGATTATTTTATTGAATCCTACAAACACCCTTATATAGTAAGAATTATCTTCTTCATTTTATAGATGAGGAGACTGAGACAGAGGGAGGTTAAGTGAATTGACCAGTATTACCTGTTAGTAAATGGTAGAGCCAAGACCCAAACTCAGGTCATCTGATTTCAGAGCCTGCCTTTTGAACTCCTTGTTGTTAAACTGTCTCTCGAATGTAGTAAGGCATGACATAAACACATATATTTCAAACATTCACATACAGGTTCCTATTACTTGTAACCACCAAATTGCTGATCATCTGGTTTCTCTGTTCCCATACTTGTAACCTATATTTTTTTTATGGTTTTATCTCGCTCAATAATGATATTCCTATTTTTATTCACAATTTCTTTTTGGTAAGGTTTAAAAATGGTAGCAATGAGATTAAAGACATATTAAATATACTATTCCTTTCAACGTAGTTTATTTTAGTAATTGCGCTGTGATACATTTTTACTAGCAGAGATGCAATTCAAATATGGATATATATACAGTCTGAATTTATAATCTGGCTTTGTAATTGACTGTTACTTAACTTTGATGAGTCTTATTTTACTCGTACAAAGAGAATTGAAAATTGACCTTTTATGCTGCATATTGGAAACATATAGTTTTTAGTTAATAGAAAAAGTTGGCTAAAGTAGGAAATTGTGAAACAATGCATATGTACCTTAAGCATTGTATTATATCATAAAGAATTAAATATTCATTCATCAGTCTTTAATATAGATTCAAAGCTTTTTGGAGCCCACTGTTTGGACTTCTACATCATTTTCTGACAGTAATACTTATGATTCATTGCCTGTGATTTTCATGTTGGGGTGAAACGTGAAAATTCATCTAGATTTTCAAAATGCCTCCCACTCTTCAAAGTCGCCTTGCTGTTGTCTAAGTCATACTAATTATTTTTATTTCTTGAGAGTCTTTCTAGATCATTCAGCTTAGTTTTCTTACAAATAAGAACCGAAAAAAAACCCCAAAAACAAATAAGAACTGTTCCCTTTTGCACTCCACTGTAATTTATTTATAACCTACATTCTATAATTTCTATTAAAAAACTGGCAAAGACAGGCTGGGAAATACAAAAATTGTCTCTTGGTTATGAAACTCAACTGGTAGAGTTAGGAATACCTTTTGAACTATTCTCTGGTATGTCCAGCATCAGCCTTCAGGTTTCACAGAGTAAGTGGAACTGATGAGTTATTTTGGTAGATTGGCTATATAGAAGTAGATGACTTTAGCCTCGCCTATGTATATCTCATAACAATATTATAATGAACAAATTAAACAATAAGCAAATAAAAAATGAATGAGTCTAGTTGATTGCACCTTCAACTTTAATAAT